GGCCTGATTTAGGAGGAGTCCCTGGGTGGCACCAATAGTTAAGCTCTCAGCCGCTGGCCAGAAGGTGGCGGTTCAAACCTGCCCACAGGCACCTGGGAAGACAGGCCCAAGTATCTGCCTCAGAAGGGTAACCCATGGAGCAGTTCTGCTCTGCACACGTGGTGGTGATGTGGTATGCCATCAAGTCAGAACTGACTCTTAGCTGACCCTTCAGCGGGTTTTTCACATGTAGTAAATTGCACGGGAGGAAACTGCCCCCCTTCCTCCTGTAGAGCGCTGATAAATTTGAACCACCTGCCTTTAGGTGACAGCGCCCTTTTACCTGTAGGCCACTAGAGCGCCTTGTGCATACATGCGATTGTCATGAATTAGAAGGGACTTGACTAGGGAGCTCTGGTGGCCTAGTGACAAGCAACAGCACTGCAAATCAGAGGTCCACAGTTCAAATCCACCAGAGGCTGTGCTGGAGAAGGAGGGGCCTCCTCCTGTACCAGTCAGATCCGATTTGACAGTACACACACAGAAAATAATAAATTTAAAAAAAGAAGGGACTTGACTGCAACTAGCTACAACAGGGACTTGAGGGACAGTGGTGGTTCAGTGTTAGACGTCCCCACTCTCCATGCTGGAGACATGGGTTCAATTCCTGACCAGTGTACCTCCATGGACAGCCCCCACTCTTCTGTCATTGGAGGCCTGCTTGTTGCTATGGTACACTTCCCAACTTAGATGGGGCTAGGAAGAAAGGCCTGGCAATCTTTGGAACATCAGCCAATAGAATCAGCCAAAATAATCCAATCTGCAGCTGACCATGGGGATGCAGAGCCAGGCGGCCTTTGGTTCACTGTGGATGGGGTTGCCATGCCACTAACAGCAGCTGACATCAGATGCCTTAGGAGGGGCAAAGGTATAGCAGCACAGAGGACTTCGGGGCACACACAGCTTTAAGGCTGGGCTTCGGTTACCCACCTGAGATGGAGCCCTTGGGTAGGGAAACCACCTGGAAGACCGCTGAGGATCCTCTGGAAACCACGGCTGGGAAGTCTTCTCTTCAGGAGGATCTCCAGCTTCCTGAGCCGGGGTGACCGGCTGCGCCAACAAGGAGACATCCAGGCTTAATTGTACCCCTCTCTTCGCAGACCCCATGATGGAGCTGACAGGCACTGACCCCTCGGAGCTCGACGGCCAGCAGGAGATGGAAGACTTCGAGGAGCGTTCCTACAGCTTTGCAGGCGCGGATAACAGCGCCGAGGCCAGCGTCCTCACTGAGCAGGCCATGAAAGAGATGGCCTACTACAACGTGCTTTAGCCAGCAAGCTGCCCCTTCGGGGGAGAGGCGGGAATGGGGTGAGGGTGAAACCCCTCCCCGTTGCTGCAGGAAGCACCTCCTGCAGCTGAGAAACAAGCTACTGCCCCACTGCCCTGCCCCCTGCCCTCCCGCCGGGTCCTCTGCACCACTAGGGACTGGGAGACCAAATGGAGACTGTACTACTGGCCTCGGCTGTGAACCAGGCCCGGGCGTCCAGGGAAGGAGACCAGACAATGAGGGAGGCCCAGGCCTGGGTCTCCTTGGCTTGCTGTTGGGTGGGCGGAGGGGGGGGATGCTAATGGGGCCATGCTGGGATGAGTCACAAGGACATAGATTCTTGGGGTCTCCCCCCTCAAGCCCAGCAGATAGTGATGGTTCTTGTGGGGGTCCTGAGCCCCCTAACACTGGAGGAAGAGATCACTTGAGCCATGCCTTGTTTCTCGGCCAGTTCCTGCCTCTAGGGAGGTTTGGCCTCCTGTGCTGGCCAGCACTGACCCTTGCACCCCCACCTCTCAGCCCTGGAGCTGTGAGCAGCACCAGACCTGAGAGCCCTCTCCCCACCCTGCCAAGAGCGGCCAGGCAGGGCCCTCTGCCTTCTACCTCCGGGTGCCTGCGCTCTTCAGGCCAGGTGTATGGGCAGCCCAGCCCCGGCCACAAGAGAGCAGGGTGCATCCCAGCCTCCAGACACCCCCCCCCAGAAGCCTACATCCCACAGCTCTGTTCAGAAATGCCTTTCCAAGCGGTGTCCCTAAAGTAGCTCTCAGCACTGTCACCCAGACCTCAGTGCTGAGCTGGGACACCACGTAGGGCCAGAGACATGAACAAAGCTCACAGAGACAGATACCCTAGAAGTGAGAGGCAGGGCAAAAGAGAGGCTCTCCTCAGGGGGAGGCTGTGGACCCCTGTGGGGGGAGGGGCTGAAATATTTTCTTATTAATAAGTATCCATTTTGCAGATGGAGACAGCTAAGAGACAGCAGGTTTCTAGGGAAGAATATATTTAAAAAGGAAAACAAAGACCATATAAATTTTTTTCTTTCTTAGCAAATGGGGGTATTTTGAAGTTAATTTATTTTTTTTTTCTTCCCAGCTCTGTGTTGCTACATAATCTTTTTGGTTTGGAGTTGCATTTCCTTCTTCCCAAACACAAGCTCTCCCATGTGCTGTGCATGCTTCGGGCCTCCCTCACCCAGGGCAGCCTGGCCAGGCAGAATGCAGGTTCACCTGGAGGTGTAGCCACTGCCAGGAAGCCTTGGATGGAAGCAGGGCAAGGTAGCAAGCTGGGCAGGCCGGGGACTTGAACCTGATCTGCCAGGAAGCCTCTGGTGGAAGCAGAACAGGGCAGCAAGCTGGGCAAGCCAGGGACTTAGCCCCTGACCTCACTCTTGGCCACAGCCTGGCTGCCTGGCTAGCAGCTTAGTGCCCCTCTCACCCCCTCTTCTCCCATGCCAGCTCCTGCCCCCAGAGCCACAGACTGCAGGCCCAGGACAGGGAAATAGCACATTCAGGAACTCTAGGGCATCAGGACTCCCTCCCACATGCCCTCTGAGGCTTCCATGGAGAGGGACAGGCAGGGCCTTCCCCAAAGGTACAGAAGACAGGAAGCCACCAGGTTCAGCCCGGAAACCAGGAAAGGGGAGACAGTCGGGGGAGCCCATTTGAAATGCAGCTGCTTCCAGGCTATCCCATTAGGTGAAGGAGCAAGCCAGGCTTCAGGTGACTGTGACTGGAACTGAGGGATGGACAGGTGGCCTCAGGATCAGGCAGCCAGATGTCCCTTCTCTGCTAGAGCTCAGCTGAGCAGCATGGGAATGGGCTGGGGGCTCACGGGAGCCCCTCCCCAGGTGTGGCTCCCTAGACCCCAAGACCACACGGCCTCCCAGGTGCCCACGTGATGATCCTCAGGTGGCAGTGACCCCGTCACTGTAGAAGACATTTTCTCCTGCTGAGCAGAAGGCATCATCCCCTGCAAACTACCTCTTCCCACACGTCTTTATCCCCTGGTACCAAAAAGAACCCTGTACCTCTTCCTCCTCCTCTTTCCTGCCAGCACAGTGGCCTTGGCCTTGGAAACAAGGGAGACAGCCTGGCCTCGAGGGCAGGCTCCCCCTCCCAGCCCTGCCATCGCCCCGGCCCTCTGCGAGGTTCTGTACTTGAACGCCCTGCCCTGTGCCTTGGACCTGGGCAAAACTGAGAAGGAAACAGCACAACTCACAATTTGAGGCGCGGGGTGGTCTTGACAAGGCTCCCGTCCTCACCACTCCCCAACTTTTTCCAAAGAGGCATGCCAGCCTCTCAGGTGACTTGGGAAACTCCTGGACGAATATTTCGCTCTAACTTATTTTGACATGTGTTCAGACCAACTGTTTAGAAACTCCACTTGTGCAAAGCCCTACTGTGTTTTTATGTTCCTGTTTGAAAGAGAAGTTTACTTAGCAATAATTATAAATAAATGAATATTCTTTAGTGAGGTGACTGCCAGTGTGTCTTTCCACAGCCCTGGGGGAACCTGGCCCTCCTCCCTCCTGAAGGAACTCCAGTGACGTACAACTTTCAGGGGTCTGGAGGGGACCAGGTTCTGGAATGTCCACCCACAGGGTCTACAGCTCACTGTCCCAGGCCCACATAAGGGGGACATAGACTGAGGCTGCCGAATTCTCACCACTCACACAGAAAAGCTCTCCACCACCACCACCACCCCACCACCACCACCACCTGCCTTCATGCACCAGCTCAGAAGCCAGCTCCCAACACCAGACTGGAGGCTGAATTCTGGGGTGCTGCCCACCATATGCTGCCTCTGGGCTGGAAGGGGTAGGAAGCCATAGGAAGCCATAGGCTCCTTCCCAGAGGTGGGGCAGACAGCTCCTTGGCTTTTCTTCCTCAAACTCTGGGAGTAGAATGGAACTGACCACCAACAGGAAGTGAGCTGCCATTGTACCTGGGGCGTGAGCGTTACTGCCCATCATAAAGCTACTCAGGAATCTACAGGAATGGTCCCAACTTGAGTTCCATGAGGCGAGTTCTACAATGTGGAAAATGGACGTTAGGGTTACCGGTTACTTGTTTTGTCAAATAAGCAAAGACGACTCTTCTCTGGGAGCTTTAACGCTAAAAATTCAAAACATAAGCCCACATAAAGGACAATTTTTAAAATGGCTTTCTAGCAACTTTGTGGCCTGATTTTTCTAGTTTTGCCTCAGAGTGGTGAAAGGGAACCCAAGTTTGGGAACCAGGGTCCCAGACTCCCAGAGGACCAGTCTCTTCTCACTCTCATACACCCTCAAGCCATTGTGGCCATTAAGGCCAATGCTGGGTAGGAACTACGCTCAGTAGAGAAATAAAAGGGCTGGGAGGCATTTAAAAGGTTAAGACCAATGGGAAAAAATAATCAGAACCTTTTGGAAAGTATGACAGTCCCTAGAATGGAGAAGATAGAACTAGATTGTGCTAGAAAATTCCAGAAAGCCCAAAGCCTGCACGTGAAGAGTCTGAGTGGGCGCTCGGGCTATTTCTTCACAACAAAGGAGGAAGGCCCCCTCTTTCTATGGGTGTCTCCTTAGTTTGACAGGGGCTGGGGGCTGCTAGATCCAAGCTGCTGTGGCCTGTCTATCCCTTGTGGAATCTGCCAGCCTCAAGAGGGCCTTTGCCCCAGCTGCCTCCTTCCCCTCAGGGACACACACAGCAGACAGTTTTGTGAAGAGCTTTTTTAGTAGCTAAATATGGCACCATGTGTTCCAAGGGCAATATAAATTACAGTATGCAAAACATACTGACTGGCTGAGGTAAAACACGCTGTTCCTGCCTCACGTCTCTATGAGGGGAAACACAGTTAGGCTTTAAAAAATATCTCAATTATAAAAAACGTCCCCTATGAAAGCCTCGTGGGCAGGCTCCCCGTAGAGAAGCTGCGAGGCTCACCCTCCGTTGTGTTGGGAGGACCTGCAGCCACTGCTTGCTCGGCTCTGTTGCATCCACCACAGAGGCTGGGCAGTGCAGGCCCCTACTGCTTGCCCAGAGCTTTGTCCAGGTTGCTCTTGATGGTGTCCAGGAAGTCTGTGGTGTTCAGGAAATGTTCATTCAGCTTCACACTGCCAAGAGAACACCATCCACATCAGGGTGGGGTCAGCTGGGCCCTCCCAGAAGACAGCCTGAGCACGAGCATCTCAGCCACTGGCCTCCTGCCCCATGGGGGCGGGCAGGCCCAGCTGCAGGCCCACAGGGGTGGGCAGGCCCAGCCGCAGGCCCAAGGGGATGGGCAGGCCCAGCCGCAGGCCCACGGGGGCGGGCAGGCCCAACCGCAGGCCCACGGGGGTGGGTGGACCCAGCCACAGGCCCACAAGAGTAGGCAGGCCCAGCCACAGGCCCAAGGCTGCTGGAGGCCTGCTGCCACCTGGCCACAATGCACACAGGAGGACCTGCTAACAGCCAGCTATAGTAGAGGCCACTGCCTCGTGAGACCCCCAGTTCTGCACTGTTCCCTAAAGATGTTCATAACTGGGGTTTTCCACTTTTTTTGTCTTTCTTTTAAACTGCCTCTTGGTGGACACAAACCTCCAACCTTTCCATTAGCAGCCAAGTATGTATCATTTATACCACCCAGAAATGCCAGGAGCCTGGTAGGGTCTGCCTTGTCTTTTCCAGGTGATGGGATAACTGGGTACATGCTCTCCTGGGAGAAGCTGGGAAGTGGGTCAGGGAGAGGATGGGAAAGGGTCAGCCAGGGTCAGGGATGGGGACAAACTCACTGATCCTGGTCTGGGGGGGCCCCCACACTCTTCATGCTGCACCTGTACAGGCTCAGGCCATACAACCAAGCGCTAAGTTGGCTCAGGGGGAATACTCAGGGAGGGGTGCCCTGGTCACTTCCCGTTCGGCTCGAGGCCCCAGACGGCCATCCCTGCCCTAAACCTGGGACCACGCACTTGCTGAGGCCGTGGATGCAGCCTGCCAGGTCCTTGGTCATGGCTCCACTCTCCACGGTCTCGACACACACCTTCTCCAGGGTCTGAGCAAACCTGTGGGGACAAGGTGGAGTGAGGCCCAGCAGTGTGTGCGAGGCCCTGGGACAGGCTCTGGCCTGCTCAGCCCCTCACTCGTGCTCACCTGATGAGATCCTGGTTTCCATCCAGCTTCCCCCGGTGCTCCAGGCCACGTGTCCAGGCAAAGATGCTGGCGATGGGGTTGGTGCTGGTAGGCCGGCCCTGGGAGCAGGGGTGGCAAGGGATCAAGAGGCCCTCGAGGGTCCAGCTAGCAAGGGGCCATGTACACAGCTGCCCACCCCTAGACTGGCAAGACCAGGCTCTCTTCCAGCCTGCAAGCCCCATGTTTGGGCACCTGGAGTGAGTGAGCACTGTGGCCAAGCCCCCCACTCACCTTCTGGTGCTCTCGATAGTGGCGAGTGACAGTCCCATGAGCAGCCTCTGCCTCAATGGTCTTCCCATCCGGGCAGACCAGCACAGAGGTCATAAGTCCAAGGGAGCCGAAGCCTGCAGACAGAAAACTCCCTCAGCACTGGCATCTCTCCTTGCACCACCAGGGTCAGACCTACCTGAGCGCCTCACCAGGTGCCTCTTACCCCAACGCCACACACTGAGACAGAGACAGTGTCAGGCTCGTCCATGCTTGTTATGGACAGGACACGGCAGGGGATGCTGAGGGCAGCTGTCATCAGCACATTGATACACTGTGTCCCTACCTGCACTCATCCCAGAGCCTATATGTTATAAGACTCAGCAACTCCCTAAGCCCGGATTCTTCAGCCTCTCAAGTCTGTCCACCCAGCCTAGGACCCACTGTATCTGATCATTTGGCCACTTTGAAGTAATGGCTTGGTGGTTCTTTTCCAAAATGTTCCTATGTTCCCAAATTCAGGTGTCATTTTTCCCCGCTTAATTTTTTTTTTAAAGGAACAGAGATGTGCAATTCATTGTGAATTTTTCTGTGTTCAAGAACTCCTGGCCTTCAACGCACCCCATGGATGCCCCCAAAGAAAAAGTAGACAGTTTGGATAGAAAAATCATTTATCCAAGGCAGCAGGCAGACAGCGTAGTACTACTGCACAAAAGGGCAGAGGTAATAGAAGATCTTGGGAGAAGCACAAGCACTTTAGGCTACATTGGCAAGTCAACAATAACAGGAAAAAATGCCAGTCTTTGAGTAGATACATACATAGATACACAAGCTTCACAGTGGGGAAGGACAGTGGGCTGCACAGAAAAATACATATAGGTTTGATAGAAGCTATTTCTGCCTATGTATTTGCATACACTGCAAATATAGTAGGATCTCTGATGGCCTAGTGGGTAAGGGAATTTCACTCCCGACCCAAAAACAGATGGTTCGAATCTACCAGCTGTTCCTCAGGAGAAAGCTAAGCAAATATAGTAGAGCATACATGAAGCAGAGTTTTGAAAACTTCTTAACTGTCTCCCACCTGCTTGAGGGAATGAGTCACTGGGCCTAGGGGCTCAGGATCATGGACTCGGGGAACATCAAGGTCAAATGGTACAACACAGCCTATAAAAACCAATTGAGCCAAATGAGGTGCAACTATTGGTCCCTCCTGCTCTGGAGCAAAGAAGAATGAAGACAATGAAAGGCGCATGGGGAAAATTAGTCAAAGAAACTAACAGACTGAGACGATCAAAGCCCATGACTCTTCAGACCAGAAAAAAAGATAGTGATGCCTGGTCACCAGCGCTGACAACTCTGAAAGACATTACAATAAACAGAAAGTTCTGGACAGAATGGAACAAAACACAATATCATTAAAAAAAAAAAGACCAGGGTACGTGATCAGATAGACTGGTGGAACCCTGAGACTGCACCTCTTAACCACCCTTCAAGTCTGGAACTGAATAATCCTCTGTGGCTAACATTTCCATCAAATATACACTGACTTATAAGGTGAGGGGTGACAGAAGGAGCTAGGCATTCCCTAGCACAATCAACCAACCACTGAGATCAAAGGGGTGGCATTTGCCCAAAACAAAGTTTAGAATGTAGGAAAGGAAGAGCAGAAACAGAGGAGCAGGAGGGATAAGTGATGTCACAGGGGGAATTACAGTCAATGGCATGAAGCAAAATGCGTACCATCTGTTGAATGAGAAAATGACTTTACTGTAAACTTTTACTTGCACCGTAATAAATGATAAATAAAATAGTTACATTATATTGAGTTCTAAAAACTGCAGTCAATGTCACAAAACAAAACACAGAAGAAGCGTTGAATGGAAAACCAGTTTTCCGTATAAACTTTCATTCAACATACAATATAAAGCTAAAAATAAAGACAATGAGACAAAATTAAAAATCATGGTTAAAAAAAAAGAATCACCTAGCCTAACTCAAAATAGGTCAAAGACCTAAATATAAAACCTAAAACTACAAAGATCATGGGGAAAAAAAGAAATAGAGACAATGCCAGGGGCTCTTCTACTTGGCATAAATAATACACCAAACTTAACTAAAAATGCACAAACAGTAGAAGATGAACTAGATAAATGGGACCTCCTAAAAATTAAATATTTATGCTCATCAAAAGACTTCTCCAAAAGAGTAGAAGGAAGAATCACACACTAGGGAGGGGAAATATCAGCATATTTGAGAAGGGTGTAGAAAACTTCAATACCTCAATAAGATAAATCAGTTAAAAATGGGCAAAAGATATGAACAGACAGACACTTCACCAAAGGCATGCAGGCATCTGAGAAGAATGGCTCACGGTCAGTAGCCATTGGGGAGATGCAAATCAAAACCACAATGAGACACCCTCTCACCCTGACAACAACTGCACCAAACAAAAAAAGGAAAAAAAAATGTTGGCGAGGCTGTGAGGAGATTAGAGCTCTTATACACTGCTACTGCTGTGTGCTGAGTCGGAACGGATCCATGGCTGGCCCTTCAGCAGGTCCTCAGAGGCACTTAAATGCCATGGAGGAGATTGCCCGTCCTCCTCCCACAGAGCAGAGGGTGGATTTGCATTTCGGGATTGCAGCACAGCTTCTTACCACCAGGCCACCAGAGCTCCCACAGCTAGTGAAGATGTAAAGTGGTGCAGCCGCTATGGAAAACGGTGTGGCGCTTCCTTAAAAAGCTACAAATAAAACCACTGTATGACCCAGCAATCCTATTTATAGTTAAATACCATATGATCCAGCAATCCCATCCCAAGGTATAGATGCAAATGAAATCAGAGCCATGACACAAATGAACACATGTGTTCCCTGCAGCCTTAGTCACACAGCAAAAAGCTGGAAACTGTCTAAGTGCCCACCAGTGGATGAATAGACAAGCTGGTACCTAAATGCAATCAGATATTAAGCAACAATAATGAATAAAGGGTCTGTGCAACATCTCCCAACATGAGTGGGTATGAAGGACATTGGTGGTTGTGGTAGGTGTCATCTAGTCAAGTACGACTCATAGCGACCCTATGAACAAAAGATCTGAACCTAGTCCTGTCCTGCACCATCCTCACACTTCCTGACACACAAGAGCCCACTGCAGCAGTCACCGTGTCAATCTACCTGGTTGAGGGTCTTCCTCTCCTTCACTGACCCTCCACACTTCCCAAAATCATGTCCCTCTCCAAGGAATAGCACCTCCTAGCAACATGCCCAAAGTATGTTAGGCGAAGCCTCATCAATCTTGCCTCCAAAGAGCACTCTGGCTGCACCCTCTCCAAGACATAGCTGTTCATTCTCTTGGCTGTCCATGGGGTGTTCAGTGCTCTTCTCCAACACCACAGCTCAAAGGCACCAATTCTTTTTCTGTCATCCTTATTCATAGTCCAGGCCTCAGGTGCATAGTTAACAATTAGAAAGACTACGGCCTGAATCAGACACACCTTAGTCCTCAAATTGACATCACTACTCCTCCATAATTTGGAAACATGAATAAAATAAATCAGTCACAAAGGACAAACATGGTACTATGATAAATTGACGTTTTACACACACAAAGCATATGCACAGATGTACGGATTTACCTATGGAACCATGTGACTACACATATGTACACATACATGTACCAAAGCACACAGTGGACACAATTTACTTACAGATACTTCTTAGATGCAAACAGACACCTCAAAAGATTGGATTGCTCAGCTAGTAGGATTAGGACCACGGTCTCCTGAGACATCTCAGGCATTTGGCATAATATATAGTTGTGCTCTATATCCTAGCTGGGTGTGTCGTATCTGAGGTTTAAAAGCTAATGAGCTGCCATCCTAGATACAATTATTGGTCTCTACTCATCCAGAGCAAAAGTGAAAGAATGAAATCAAAGACTCAAACGTATAATACAGTCAGCATCAACCATGGCCTCCTAAAACCAGAAGAATTAGATGGTGCTCAGCAACCACTACCAAGGACTCTAACCAGGGGCCAGCTATATGGACCCAGACAGACTGGAAGAAGAGTAAAATATACATACTATTATATTTACAAATATTTATTTATATATATAATACATACTTACACACATATATACATATATAAACATATACAGAAGCACACACACATAAAATAGAACCTTAAATCCATTTGGGGGAAAAGAAATTTAGACCTATCGGACTGGATGAGACTGGAGGACTTCCCAAGACTACTGCTCTTCAAACTTTGAACCTAAACTAGTCTTTGAGGTCACCTTATAGCTAAATAATAGATTGGTTCACAAGATAATAAATATCACCCTTAAGTATTGTGCTCCTCAAAAAAATCATCTATGAGACAAAAATGGCCCACAATTACTTTAAAACAAAAATGAGAACGTAAGGGGACAGGAAAACTAGATTAATGGAAACAGACCCAGCAGACTGGAATTAATGAGAATATTCACACCTTGTAAATACTCTAACCAATGTCACAGAACAATTTGGGTAGAAATTAATTGAACGAGACCCTAACCTGCTGTGTAAACCTTCACCAAAAACACAACAAAAGAGTATCATTTAAAAAGAAAACCAATGTGCACTATTCACAAAGTCACCATTTACACCTCTCTCTCCAGCCATCTGTAGCTTTTCCTCCTCACATCCTAGGCAGGAATTGTTCTAATGAGTAGATCACCATTAATTTTTTTAAAAATGAGACCAGAAGTTCTTTATATATTTATTATTAAGACCTCAACTCTGCCTTTTCATCTCTGTCACTGACTCCCCTGATCTCACAGGCAGCATCTCTTGTGACCTTGTTTCTCTGTCTCTCTAGATCTTTCATGGGACCTTTGTCCTTTAGCTCACAGACCTGTCACCAGTGTTCCTGCTCTTGTTCCCAGCATATCTGGATGGTCTTGGTGGCCTTTCCTTGTACTCTCATCCATGCTTTCTACTGAAATCCACTTGGTCTTTCAAGATACCTGAGAGTCTGGGAACTTGCCATCTTCCCCTGAATTCTCCTCCAACCATAAGTTTGTCACACAAAAAGAAACAGTCTGTAAATTAAAAACTGCCTGGTTCACTAGAGCCCATCTTCCCACTGAGCCCACCTGGAGCCTAAACCACTGTTCTTGGTCCCTTCACGGTCAGGAAAAGCACTAGAACTGACCCACCATACCCTTTAGGGCTTCAATTCCTGTGTTTCTCTGTAACAACAGCCTTAGTGATTGACAGGTTCAAACTTAGTTTGTGGCCCTGATCCATCCTTGCACCAGGGAAGTCCTGCCCTCTGCTGTCCACAGCAAACTCTGCAATGGCAAGTGAGTCATCTAGAGACTTTTAGCCACTACAGATGTTTGTTGGCTGCTAACAGAGTTTGAAGGTAGCTCTGGAGGCTTAGTTATAAGGAGCTGTGCTGCCAACCCAGAGACACATGGTTTGAATCCACCCTCTGTTCCTTGGGAAGAAAGGATGGACAATCTCCTCCTGTGTGATTTACTGCCTCTGAAAGCCCCCTGGAAGGTCAGCTATGAGTCAATTCTGACCAGTACCTAACAATAACAGTCTGAAAATCCCTCAGCCAGACACTCACAGTCCGGCCCCACAAGAAGCCTACCCTGGGCCAGGATGTCCGACTGCACGTCCCCATCGTAGTTCTTACAGGCCCACACAAAGCCACCCGAAGACTTGAGGACCTGAGCCACCATGTCGTCAATGAGCCGGTGCTCGTACCAGATCTTGTTCTTGTCAAAGTCAGTCTTATAGTGCCTGGGAGCAAAAGGGTCTGTTGTGGTGTGGTGAGGGCAGGCTGGGGAGCCCTCCCCAAGCCTCGGAGCACAGCCAAATTGGCCAGGGACTTCCCCGGGAGGGCAGGAAGGCAAGGAACCGGGGGCTGAGGAGGAGCGGTGGGTTCTCAGGAGGTGGTTACTTGTCAAAGATCTCCTGGAAGATGTCCTTGAAGCGCCCGTCGTAGGCTTTCAGGATGGTGTTCTTGGTGCTCATGTACAGCGGCCACTTCTTCTGGAGGGCGTACTGGAAGCAGCTGTGTGCAAAGCCCGAGATGGACTGCAGAGAGACAGTGTCCCTGCCATCGTCTCCAAGCCTGGGACTGCCAGCCCCTCACCCCCAGGCCAAGCCGGGCATCCAGGCATGACATCTTACCCACACAAACCTCACAGACATCCGATAACCCCAGTCATGCTGTCTGAGCACACAATATTATACACTCTCCAGGCTTCTGGGCACAGTCCCTCAACTTTGGTTTTGAAAGCTACTTTTATCTCCCAGTTCTTACAAGATATGGTTGAAGTGAAGCTTCACAAGACCCACCAGTGTGACCCTGGTTTACCCAGTCATGGCGCTGACTTCTTTGAACCTCTGTGATTGGCTCAAAGATGGTCGGGTGACCCTAGCTGGACCTCTCATCAGGGCAATAGGTAAAGAGAAGGCACTGGGATATGCAGGAGACCCAGGTTCAATTCCAGCCAATATACTTCTTGCACGGCCCTCTGTGGGGGCTTGTATGTTATACTGCACAGGTTTCAGTGAAACTTCCAGGCTAAAACAGACTAGGAAGAAAGGTCTGGAAATCTGTATCTAAAAAACCAATGAAAATCCCACAGCCCTTCGTGGGCATGACACAGGACTGGACACTGTTCTGTTCTCTCGTGCATGGGGTCACCAGGAGGTTGACAACAACTGAATGAAAAGACACTCTTCCAATTGACCAGCCCAGCCAGCAGAGGAGAAGCCTACAGTGCCTGGTGACCATTTCTGCCAACCAGGGACTGAGAATAAGGCCAGCGTTGAGAAGGGAAAAGTTCTTAACTAGATTGCTGAAAGGGAGCTCTGGTGGCCTAGCAGGAAGAAGCTGCTCTGCAATCCCAAAGGCATGCGGTTCAAGGCCACCAGCTGCTCCCTGGGAGAAGGAAGGGCAACCTCCTCGCTCCCATGTGATTAACTACTTCTGAAAACCTGCTGGAGGGTGAGCTATGGGTTGATTCCAACTGTACAGTACACACCAATAACAAGAGTTTTGGAAAGAAGTGTCCTGACAAACACACATGCAGAGGCCTGGGGTGCATCTGCGGTCCAGTACAAACACTCGGGCACAGTTGGGGAAGCAGGCAAGCCCCACACCACATGGCTCGATACAGGCCCTTCATGCATCCTACATGTATTTGCTCACAGCCCTCTGGAGGCAAGAAACCAGCGAGAGCAACGGGAAGTCAGGCCCATGGGCTCGGTGCTCACCTCGTCCGTATTGTACATGCCCATGCCCACGCCGCCGGCAGGGAAGTTGTACACTTCCCACTCCTTGGTGCCGCTGCCGTCCTTCGGGGTGAAAACCATCTTAAATGTGCCAGCCCGATCTGCCACAAAGTCTGTAGCCTTGTACTGCAGAGATGAGAGCACAGCTCAAGCCTGGGCTGTGGGCAAGAGTCCCAGGTCAGTGGGCCCAGCCTCCTGCCATGGCCTACCTGGTCGCCATGGGCATGTCTGCCAATGGTGATGGCCTTGGTCCAGCCAGGAACGAGACGTGGGATGTTTTTGCAGATGATTGGCTCCCGGAACACGGTCCCCCCGAGAATGTTCCGGATGGTTCCGTTGGGGCTCTTCCACATCTTCTTCAGCTTGAACTCTGCATGGACAGAGATGAAGTGGGTTCACTGCAGCCTCCCTTCCCTTTCCAGCCAGAATTTGACCTCAAGCAAGTATACAGCCAGACAGGCATCCTAAAATCATCCAGCAGGGTCTAGAATCTGGCTGTGTGCTCTGGACTCAGATTTACTGAGTTCAAGTCCCAGTTCCACCATTTCTAACTATGAGCCTTACACCAGTGGCTTAAGTAAAACTACTGCTAAAATGCCTACGTCGATCAGTTGTTGTGAGGAATAAGTGAGATAATATGGAAAATGAGAGTTAATAAGTGGTTCAAATGATCAACGCACTATTCAACTGTTAACCAAAAGGTTGTGGGTTCAAGCCCACTCAGAGACACCTTGAAGAAAGGCCTGGCAATTACTCCTGAAAACAACTCTACTGAGCCGTATGAAGAATGGTTCAATGCTGGCACACAGAGAGTGTCCATAAATTGGCATCAGCACCATGGCAACACATTTCACATAACATGTAAATGCCTCATTATCTCCATCATCCTATGTGGAGGTAGCTTAGTCTGGGCGAAAATCTTGGTCTGCGAAACCAGCCAGCCTCGCTCCAGATGCTCTGAGCAGAGCAGATGTGGCAGCAGAGGACACAGGCCTGCCACCAAGGAGCAGAGGGTTCTAGTCCCAATACCACCACTAACCATGCCATATGACTAAGACTGTGACCCTTCTTGTCCACACATGGGGATTAACCTCAGGGCCACAGATGAATAAAAGGAAACATGAGAGAAGAGGCCAGCTCTAAAAATCCCACAACAGAACCCACCCAAGGATCAACTCTCAACCAAACACTAGCAGGTCTATGCCATGAACAACAGCTCCTCGGAACACTAAGCAGGTAAGACCCAAAGGGTCTGCCAACAACAAAGCTCAGCAGGCTGGAGAAAAGGATGAATGGAAACAGGCATCTCAGGGAGGAAGTGGGACAAGTGCTGGTGCACTAGGGACATGGGAACCAGGTCCCAAAGAAAATGTGCATAAAATGTTGACCAGAAAACTAATGAGTTCTGGAAACACTCACTCAACCTGGAATTTAAAAAAAAAAACAAAAAACAAAATGTAAAGAAATGTTGCTCTTCTCATAGTTCTCTATTTTCTTTAAAAACTGCAGGGAGGGTTTTTTGGGGGAGGGAGGAGAGGGGATTCTGACACCTTAAGGCCAGAAATAACCTGGAAGGACAGGAGGAGGTCCAGAGTGGGAAAGGCACCCTCCTAATTCCTTCACACAACACCAGCAGGCCAGGGTGGAGGGAGAGGCAGCTCTGAAAGTATTCTTTCTTGAATTATCTGTGATGTGTTTTATCCACACACTGGCACCATCTCATGGACCCTTGAGGACAGGACCCCAGAACAGAGGACTGGCAGCCAGCCCAGTGCTGGTGAGGTTGCCACTCCGAGCACCCTACATGGTCGTGGGAACAGGTTAGGGGACAGCCTGCACACCAGGATGGCAGAAGGATACTAGCCAGGTTCCCAGGTCTGTAAGGCTCTGAAGGGCACAGGCCTGGACACTCCCCCACAGAGACAGCCTCAAGCCTGTCAAGCTGCCTGCAGAGAACTGGAAGGTCAGGGGTGGGTGGCCCAGAGGAGCCATTTTTATCAGCATTTCTCTCCTCATCATGTTACTGCCAACATCTCTACTGATCAGAGAGAGCATAATCACACTGGCCTGGGAGCCAGGACACATGGAGTCTGGTCTCAGCTACAACAGAACCACAGAACCTGAGCCATCATCTACAGCAGTCTCTAAGGTCTCTATGGCCTAGTGGTTAGGAGTTGGGCCACCAACCAAAAGGCACACAGTTTAAATTCACTGGCTGGTACTTGGGAAAAAGAAAAGTAATCTCCTTCCATGCAATGCATTACCTCTGAAAACTCTGTGGAAGGTCAGCTATGCATCAGCTCTGACTCTACAGCACATAACAAGGCTACTATGGTGTCCTTGCCTGGTATAAACAGTTAACATGGTTTGCTGTTAAATGAAATTAGAGATTCAAGTCCCCCAAGAGGTGCTTGAAAGGAAGGCCTGGCAACCTACTGTCAGAAAAATTCACATTGGAAAGCACTATGAAGCACACTTCTACTTAACAGGTCACCAAGAGTTGGAGTAGACTCGGTAACAGCATTAAGATTATAGCTGCAGTGCAATCCCAAAGGCACATGGTTCAAATCCACCAACTGCTCCACAGGAGAATGGGCAATCTTCTCCTGTGCAATTAACTGCCTCTAAAAACCCACTGGAGGGTCAGCTATGAGTTGGTTCAGACTCAATGGCACACAACAACTTGTCTAGGGCATTCTCAGGGAGCTGGGTCATAGTCCCCACATACTACCACTCCAGGCCCAAGTGCAGCTGGGCTCACGGACCCCTCTTGTCCAGCTGCAGAAGCTCCCACTCGTCTCCAAGCCTCAAGATGAGTGGCATGGCAGGATGTCCACCCAATTCATCCCATTCCCATGCCTGTCCCCATCCCCGCACCTTCCACTCGGGCCTCATCAGGGGTGATGGTGGCACACTTGACCGCCACACTGTACTTCTGGGTGGCCAGCGCAGAGTCAATGGTGACCTGGTCATCAGTCTTGTCGCGGTTTGGAAGCCCAAGGTCAAAATACTTGAGCTGGACGTCCACGTGGGGCAGGATGAGCTAGGGACAGACAGATAGCCAGACCAAGGCATCAGTCACATGGCTATGGCTTGGGGTCAGGACACCAGAGGGCATGCAGGAGAGCTTGTGGGTCATGGCAGGAGGCACCCAGTTGAGGACAAAGACCAGAGGAGGGCAGTGGAGGGCGCAGTGCAGTAGGAGACTAAAGCTGGTCTGAGCCTGGAACTCTGGACGGAGTCAAGGGACCAGACCAGAACTCTTCCTCAATGTGGACCTTCCTTCCTCCCACCTTCTCCATGGCCTAGAATTCAGCCAAAACCCAGCTCCAAATGCATCCACATTTCTCTACCCAGTAGATTCCTTCTCCCCTGGGCGCTTTAAGAACTGGACGAGCAGAGATGGCAGCTTTCTGGACGTGCACATGGACAGCACGTTCTCCTGAGCACTCCCAGACCACAGCTGCTTTGGAGAAGCCAGGGCACCTGAGTGGGAACCCCTGGTTATGTGGTCACCACGGCTGTGCAGTCGCCCTGCAGACAGACCAGCCTGTCCCCTTTGGGCCCCACACAAGGAAACATGGGAGAATACAGGGAGTCAAGGATGTGACCAGCCCAGAATCTGCTCAGGTTTTCTAAACATACCACCTCCAGACAGGCGATCACCACAGGCCACAGACTGCCTCATACCACCAAGAACTGCTAGTGGTCAGCATGTGGGAGAAAGGTGGACAGGAGAGTGATGGGATAGTCCTGCCCTCCTGGGTGACGGCTAAATCCCGGGCCAGGAGGCCTGTGTTGAGAAAGCACCGCGGCCCAGCCCACCTGAAGAGCACTCCTTGGGGGAGCACTACCTTCTCCTTGATGAACTGCCAGATGATGCGGGTCATCTCATCACCGTCCATCTCCACCACGGGCTTGGCCACCTTGATCCTCTTGTCAGCATCTAGAATCCGACAAACACAGTGTGTCATGCTCCTGGGTAGACTGGGGGAGCCATCATCTTCCCATGACCCTGACCACAGGGCACAAGAGACAGCTGGGATTCCTGCGACCCAGAGGCTACCCCCTTTGTGAGGAGCAGCTTCCCAACTCTTGAGAACCTGTGTCCCCCCTTTAAGAATGGCCACACACAATCAGCCCCGATGTCAGCACAGTCTGGTCAAGGAGGCCAGATCTGGCCAGGCAAATACTGTTCCCCTACAGTCTGGAGGCAGGTGCCAAGCAAGAGAATAAGGATCAGCTGGGCCCAGCAGCAGGTGGGGGAGAGTCCAGATTCCACAGTCCAGGCTTGGTTCTTTCACGCCCCCTGTAATTTTATGACTATCCCTTGTTCTTCCAATAAGTTCCTCCTAAAGTCAGCCCGTCACTAACTCTGCTGTTTGCAATTTGAGATTAACTTGAAGTGAGGAAGAAAGCAGTGTCAATACAAACTCAGCTCCTCCTGGAACCTGTAGGTGGTGTGACAGCTACACAAGTCATCCCTGACTGGCCCTTCAAACCCACTCAGAGCCTCCTTGACAGAGGCTTGGATGTTGCTTCTGAAAGGTCACAGCACAGAATCCCTGTGGAGTGGGGCACAGTCCTGCACTGGCACATAGATGGTCATTATGAGTCAGAATGTACTCAAAGGCAACTGTTGCTTTATTTTGTTTTGAAACACTATGTGCTGATGAAGGTGGGAGGAAGGTGAATAATCTCCTTCCATGTGATTTACAGCCTCTGAAAACTCACTAGAGGGTCAGCTATGGGTCACTTCTGTCTTAACAACAACAAGAGCTAGAGATTTTGAGTGTTTTTCATGTGTTTGTTGCCTTCTAACTTTCTTCTTTGGTGAAGCATTTATCCATATTTTCTTTTCTTTTTTTTTTTTTTTTTTTGTATGTGTACTGTCAAATCAGATCTGACTGGTACAGGAGGAGATTGTCCCTCCTTCAGCAAAGCATCTGGTGGATTCAAACCGCACACCTCTGGGATTGTAGTGCAGTTTCTTGCCACTAGACCATATCCATATTTTCTGTCCATTTGAGGTTTGTCTGTCTTCTTGTTGAGCTGCTGGAGTATTCTATAAACCTTAACTATGAGTCCCTTCCCAGATACATCACTATCATTTCAGATTCCCCCCCCCCATCTGTGGGCTTCCTTTTTACTCTATTAGAGAAATTGTTTGATACACATGAGGATTTGATTTTTTAGAATGTCCCATTTCTTCTAGTTTATCCTTTTCTGGTTGGGGGTTTTGGTTATCCTTGGGTTTTGCTCGGTTATTCTGGGAAGACACTATGCACAGTGAATTATCTCAGGATCAAAGTCCACTGTTATAACAATAGGATGGACGGGGAGGGGGGGAGAGCAGGAGAAGAATGGATGGATAATGATCACTGCCCTGGAAGAGGCGAAGGGAAAGACAATGGACAGAAATGGAGATTAGGCATTATGTGCGTGACAATTAGCAATCTGGAACAGGACAAGCAGGACAAAGTGAATTGGCAGAGGCGAAGGGAGGGAAACATGTATAAATGAATGAATGAAAACCAATCTCTGTAAGCTTTCACTAAAATCATAATTTTAAAAAATTAGGACATTTTTTAAAAAGAAAGCTAATTTGCTACACAAAGTTTTCACCTCAAGCACTATAAATAAAATGCTTTTAAAAAAGAAAAAACTCAAAACCCAAAGCCACAATTCTGCTCTGACACACACAAGGTATTCATGTCAGATGTCAAAGCAACTGCATGTATCTCACCCTCTACCATGGGATTCCACTTAACCCTCAAAACAACCTACTGTTGTTGTTATTGTTGTTGTTAGGTGCCATCAAGTCAAGTACAACTAATAGTGACCCTATCAACAAAAGATCTGAACCCTATTCTATCCCGCACCATCCTTCCTCACACTTCCTGACACACAAGAGCCCACTGCAGCAGTCACCGTGTCAATACACCTGGTTGAGGGTCCTCCTCTTCTGCACTGACCCTCCACCCTTCCTAGTATCATGTCCCTCTCCAAGGAATAGCACCTCCTAGCAACATGCCCAAAGTATGTGTGGTGAAGCCTCATCATTCTTGCCTCCAAAGAGCATTCCGGCTGCACCCTCTCCAAGACATAGCTGTTCATTCTCTTGGCCGTCCATGGGATGCTCAGTGCTCTTCTCTAACATCACAGCTCAAAGGCGTCAATTCTTTTTCTGTCATCCCAACCCAGTAGGTTACCATTATTTCTTTCAAATGTGGGAAAATTGAGGTCCAGAGAGATGACAGGTTTATTTTCCAAAGTTAGACAGTTCAACAACAGCAGAGCTAGAAGCCACAGACCTCACTCAATGCCAAGGACATCTGCTAACTGAATTCAGAATCCTGCTCTAAGCCAGCTCAGGACTGGCCAGTTCCCACAGCTCTAGAAGCATCAAAGGAGCCCATGGTAGCTCATCAGGGACCCAAGGAGCCAGTGCAGATGGAGACAGGAGTAGGGAGAGGCTCTTCAAGAAAGGCCATGATTTCTAAGAAAAACCAACAGCCAAAAAGTGTATTCCATAGAAAACTTAAAGAAAAACTGTCCCTTCCCCATTAGTCACTGAAGACAGGGAGGAATCCTTGGGTGGGAAAACAGTTAACACATTCACTTCTAACAACAACAACAACAATACCCTGAGAACCTTGAGTCCATCCAGGGGCACTGGGCAGCAAGGCCTGGTAATCTGCTTCTGGAAAATCACAAGTGGGGTTGCTGTGGGTCAAAGTCGACCTCGCAGCAGCTGGATGGTTAATTAATAAGCACAGGCAGCCTTGGATGCGGCTTACTGAACCCTGGCTTCACAGATGGAGCCACACTAGAGCCTGCAGGGACTGCCCACAGCATGGGACGGAGCGGTGCCTGCAGAGCAGGGTGGGGGTGCAGCAAGAGGTGGGGAAACCCAACCCAACGGGGTTCTGAACCCAGCCCACATCTGTGCCCTTTCCTCAACGGCACACTCCTCATCCTCACCTAGAGCACACTTACTCTCACATCACACCAACCCTTGAGAACATAATCTGCAGTCAAGTCAGCGCCCGACTCCTGGAAATGCCTCATACAACAGTATATGGCCCAGCCCTGCACCATGTCCAAGGCTGCTTTGATCCCCTGGGCTTCCGGTAGTTTATTTTGGAAGCTGACCTCCGGGGCTTGCTTCCTAGTTTGTCTTACTCAGGAAGCTTCATTGGAATCTGTGCAGCATCAAGTTGTTGTTGTCGTTGAGTGGAAATCGACCTATAGCCCACAGCTGACCTTCCAGAGGGTTTTCAGAGGCAATTAATTGCAGATTGTCCATCCTTCTTCCACAGTTCAGCTGGTGGATTTGAACCACATGCCTTACTGCAGTTCAGATTCTTACCACAAGGCCGCCAGAGCTCAGCATCATAGCAACATGCAAGTGTCCAATGACAGGTGAATGACTGTACATAAAGTGCATTGGCAGGGAATCAAACCCAGGTCTCCCATATGGAGGGCAAGAAGTCTACCACTCAACCACCACCACTGATGAAACACAGCAAATCAAAAGAGAGGAAGCTGTCCAGCTGAAGATGCTGACAAGTGGAAGAAGTGGCAGACATCTTGCCAGGTACAACAGCAAGAGCAGAAAGGAGACAGAAATCTACAAAAAGTGGGACCAGGAACCAAAAAAAGGACAGCTGGCAGGAACAGCTAATGTTTTATGCCATGTGCTTTGCTGCAATAATAAAAGTGGTAGAATCATAGTTACTAACATAGGAAGATGTCCAAGATATATTAATGGGGAGAGGGAGGTGGAAATCTAGTTTAAAAACATGGACAGTGTTATGGATTGAACTGTGCCCCCAAAATATGTATATGTGTGTCAATTTGTGGTGCTGGAGAAGAGTATTGAATGTACCATGGACTGCCAAGAAAACAAACAGATTCATCCTAGAGAGGCTTAAACCAGGCTGCTCCTTGGAGGCAAGGATTCTGGGGCTTCGTCTGACATACTTTGGACATGTTTTAAGGAGAGACAGGTCTTTGGAGAGGGACATCATGCTGGGTAGAGTAGAGGGACAGCGTAGGAGGGGAAGACCCTCTATGAGGTGGATTGATTCAGTGACTGGGGTAATCAGGATGGGTGTGTCAGAGGCAATGAGATTGGCACAGGATAGAGCACGGTTTAGGGCTGCTGTACATGAATCGCTATGAGTCACAAACGACTCGACGGCACATAACAACAACAAACAACATGATGGTTGTTATGTGCCGTCAAGTCAGAGCCAACTCATAGCTGACCCTCCAGTGAGTTTTCAGAGGCTATAAATCACACAGACAGAGACTGCCTAGCCTCCTGCAGAGCAGCTGGTGGATCTGAACCTCATACCTTTGGGTTGGTGGCTCAATTTCTTACCATTATGCCACCGTATGATTCTTAGTATTATGGAATTACACCCCATTTTGTAACTTAATGTAATTATTTTATGTGTTGGAAACCCTAACCTCTGTGATGTTAATGAGGCAGGATTAGAGGCAATTATGTTAATGAGGCAGGATGCGATTTACAGGATTAGGCCGTATTTTGAGTCAATCTCCTTTGAGATATAAAGAGATTAAACAAGCAAGCTGAGATGAGAGGGATCTCAGCACCTCTAATAAGGAGCCAGGAATGAAGCATGTCCTGTGGATCCAAGGTTCCCAGCTGTGACCCTCCTTGGCCCAGATGAAGACTGATGCCTAGACACATGGAAATATCCAAGGGACTAAAGCCCACAGATGTCAGAAGGAGACAAGGACCTTCCCCCACAGTTGGCAGAGGAAGAAACCTTTCCTTAAAGCTGACACCCTGCATTCAGAATTCTAACTGTAAGAAAATAAAGTTCTGTTGGTTAAAGCCATCCATCAGCTTGTGGTGTGTCTGTAACAGCAGCACTAGTTAACCGGTTAACAGCTAGCTGTTGTCATTGTGGT